GGTCAGCAGGAGAGGGCAGGCGGGAGCCTGCGGAGCTCTGTCAGGCGGCCGGACAAGGGGCTTTTCAGGAAGACTGTGCCCAGAGCTCCGAGCGCCATAGGTGGGAATGTGTCTCCAGCTCCTGAATATTCATCTCAGCCTGGACTGTAAAACGGGGCAAAGCCAGGCCCAGCCACCTGCTGCTGGACAGCAGTAGCATGGGCACGCTGCCGACAGAGCTGGGAGCAGCCTGCTCGCTCCAGTGCCGAAGGGGCCAGATCTGCCCGCGCACTGTGCAAGTGAAGCCTCTTCCCAGAGCTGAACCTCCAGCTTCTCTGCAGCCTGAGGGCTCAGGGTCTCTGGAGAGCCTTTGTGGCCTTGAGTCTTTAAAGGAGCTCTGTGCTGGTGTACTCTGTCCTTGCTTTGCACCTGCAGTTACTTTCCCTTCTTTTCCTTTCTGCATCTGTGTTTGTAGCACTTTGTCAAATCAAAAAGCATGCCCTGTGGTCAGAATCTTACTCCTTTAGCAGGATTCTCTGTGCACCCATTTCTTCCTCCTCTCCATGCTTCTGTCTCTAGCATCCATTCCAGGTGGAGCAGCTCTATTCCTTGTGCTGGGTCACACTCAGTGACCCAGACATCAGCCATTTCCAGGGTCACACTGGAAATCATGAAAAGGTTTATGACATTACAACCAGATGCATCTTCCTTACCCTTTGTATCTGCTAGACCACCAGCATTTCCTTCCCCAGCTATCAGGGAGGTCACAGACCTCTGCACAGCCTGAGGCCCCACTAGCAGCTCCCTCAACACAGTTTTACGTGACTCATCTCAGTTTCTGCCCCACATTTTATTTCTAATGGAGTCTAGGTGATTTGTGGCTGAGCTGAGCAAATGGCAACACACCTTATAAGAAGCAAATTCTTGCTGTGCTTAGGATGATGGCAAATAGGCAGCAGGCTCTAGTGCAGCTGGTTTCTTTCAGCTTCAAGGTTGTGTTCACATGCATGGTCTGTAACCTATAGAGTCCTACCCAGCCCAAATCTGCTTCTCTTGCAAGATTTCTTTTGACCCCAAGCTTCAAAGCTTTATTGCTTTGTTTAATATTAAACAATATATTTCCAGTCTTTGCTAAATAACTCTCTTGTGTTTTCCTCAAATAAGAAATAGTCTGTTTCATATCTGTGAAGCAAAGGAAACTTTGTCTCTAGTGAGAGGAGAGCACAGCACTCCCTGCTTACTGCTGCTGCTTTCTCTTGTTGCAGACATTCCCGTGATCCCTGACTTGGAGGAAGTCCAGGAGGAAGATCTGGCCATGCAAGTGGCAGCTCCCCCCAGGTAAGAGCACTGTCAAGTGCTCCTGAGCCTCTCATCAGCAGTGCGAAATGGCTGGTGAAATTAAACCCCATCTTATCTCATGCTGTCTGTATTTCAGCACCAGTGCCATTCAGCATGATTTGGTGCTGTGTATTGTGGCAGCGCGGCTCCAAGCTGAATAGGCCAAACTTCTTGTTTCCGATTACACGGAGAAAGAAATTACTGAATATTCTGCCTCTATATAAGAAAACACTAGAGTAAAATACTTGATGTTGCAAAGTCAAATTCTCAAAAGTGAGGAACTGCGTGACATAAGCTTGCCTGTATAACCTGAAATGCCTCCAGTACGCATGCATTATCACATACATTTTGATTATGCATGGTTGTAGGCTGCTCTGCCCTCCACAGGATATCCTTCTTACTCAAGTACTTAGTTAATTTGCACAGTACAATCCTATTGTTTGAAGGTGTTACCAGAGCAGTCCTGGGGTTAGCTCACAGGAGAGCAGCAAGTTTTAAAAAATTAAAATCTTTGGTGTTTTATCTTAAACATACCAGGAAAGTCTTCCCTTCTCTGTTGGGACTATTACCAAGAGCACAGACTGGGATTTCTGTTGAGCCTTATTTAGAGAGGTGGGATATCTTACTCCTGACCACAGGTGCCTCTCTCACAATATGTAGTAGCTGCTCTAATAAAATAGCTGTTAACAAAAGTAAATGACACTTTATAGTAGTAAATTTGAAAATACTTTGTCTCTCACCAGAGTTCATTTCTTTGTTTTCTCTCTTTTTTTTATATTTCCATTTGTTCCTCCTGTAGCCACAGTCTCCCTGCAATAGAAAAGATTTCATGAACAAACACAAACATAAATTAAATTAATATAGGTCTTTTCTGTAGAATTTCATCACATGGAAAGTGTGGCACGACAGTATATTACCCCCTACACTGTGTTTCTCTTTGAAGGCCGCATTTTAGGGAATTGTATTTGATAGCTGTGACTCAGCTTAGACATGGAAATCACAAAGTCCCTACTATTCTGTAGCTTGTACTATGGGGCTCTCAGAGCCTGCTTTGATACAGTGCTGGGGCTGTTTGAATGTTCACTACATTCTTATATTGTTTCTGGCCCTTGCAGCTAATGTGTGGCTCTTCTCTCCAGCACGCTGGCTTCTCTTGGGGAGACTGGTTGCTCCACATTCCGTCTTTATGCATGTGCACAACCTGGCACACAGATTTGTCAATGACTGTTCATTTGCTGAATGCGATTTGTTTCTGTCTGGGGACATCCATCTCAAGAGTCCGCATGGGTGATGTGGACACTTGAGATAATTGTCACTAGACTACTGTTCATTCCACCCTTCTCCTCAGATGTGCTTCCACACTTACCCAGGCTTGTACTTTGACTCCTTCTGGTTGCAGTGTGCAGGTGAACCGAGTACTGACCTACCATGACCTGGACAAAGATCTAATGAAGTATGCTGCCTTTCAGACTTTGGTAAGTGGATGGTGCTGTAGGGTGACCAATGTGACCCTCTCCTTCCAGATTCCCATCATCCTCCAAAGTGATACTCAGCTGCATAAAATACACAGCCCTGTCATCTGAACCACTTGCAGTCTGCCTGCAAGCCTGTTCCTCTCTGCAGTGTGGCTTTCATCCTTGTTTGTGTCTGTAAATAGTGTGGCCATGGTATTTGCTGCTCAGATGAGGCTCCTGCTGTTGTCCTGGACAAAGTATATGTCCATTATGAGGCAAATGTGCCTATCTCTAGTGGGACCTACCTGGTGAAATGATGGTGTCCACTCTTTCACTGTCTGTAAGACTGTGACTCTGTGTGTGTGTTCATAGGATGGAGAGGTTGACCTGAAGCTTCTCACCAAAGTTTTGGCTCCAGAGCATGAACTGCGAGAGGTGAGTCTTTTGTGGGAGCACCAACAGGCAAAAGCTTCTTGTGTGTCTCAGACTGTACTTGGAAAGTAAGCCTTTGTCAGTGGGGTGGAGGAGACAGGTGACGAGGAGTTTGTCCAAGCTGATGGAGGTTTGATTTCCCCTGAATATTATTTTGAAGATAGGTAGGAGTTTCTCTGTGTGAGATTAGTACATCACTGGAGTTGGCCCCCATCAGTATGAAAGAACTAGGAAAGGAAAATGTGAATGGCCTACCACTGTCACAGATCCATGAAGAAACAGTGCTGTGTTGTGTATTGTCTTCTGGTAGCCACCATGTGGTTCTACAGAGTGGTACAGAGGGACAAAGTCAGAAAGCATCTGGGGTGTGGGCAAAGGGATATTTTAAAGCCGGACAGAACAACCTCAATACAACTGGGTGTACACCCACTTCAGCATGCTTGTCTTTTTCCTCTTGGCAGGATGTTAGCTGGGATTGGGACCATCTCTTCACAGAGGTGTCCTCAGAACTAGTGACCGAGTGGGATCTGGGACAGTCTGAGAGAGATGACCACCTCAGTCTGCCCTAGAGCACTGGCACACCAGACATCTCATTACTTGTATCTCCTGTAAATAGTTTAGCACTTTAATTTTCTATTCACTTGTTTGTATTTGAGAATTTATTTGAGACATGAAAATAAATAGGAATACTTTTCATAGGAAAGCTTGGGAGAAGTTTTGGGTATTTTGTAATAATAATCTTTGTTCTCAAAAGACATGAAGAATTCTAAATGCAATAAAATATTTACTTTGGAACAGTCGCTTCCATTTCACTAGCACCTTTACAGGTAATTGCAATGGGCGATCTTTTCTCTACCAAAATGCAGCCTCTCTGTAGTGGACCATCTTACAATGGAGTGTGGTTTTCAGTGATGGCTATCAGAGAAGTTTAGGCTAATACGATTTGGTTGCCTAGGACATGAAGATTGCCATCTTCCTTACAACAGATGCCACAAGTTAATGCTAGAATATCCATTTTACATTTCATCCAGCAGCTTTCAGCCATCCCCTGCTAGTTTAACCTCTCTCCTGGAACATTACCTCTGTATTGACTCAGAGGAAGCAGCAACACCACTTCTTACAGCACCTCTTTTCTTCCCTTGAGGTTTCCCAGCTAAATTCTGACCAAGCCTAACCCCACTTAGCTTTTGCAATCAGATGAGATCACAGCCTGAATGGAGATAGCTTCGGGCAATAGGTAGTTTGCAATGAAAGTACTGATCATTCCACGCATGTGGAAGAATGGAGCCTGCTGCTCTGAAAAAAGGTAACTCCCTGGTGGGTGTCTCCTTGGAACCAAGTAAGCCACTCTTATTGTCATCTAAAGAAGAACCCATTTAGCTGTTAATACCTTGTCCCCAAAGAACCTTGGTCATTATTTGAAGGAAACAGTAGCGTTACTTCTAAGCCAATGTCCTTCAAAGCCTTGTCCTGTTGGAGAATCTTGCTATATTCTTCTGGGGGGCAATGCAGGTGCTGGGAGGAAGGCTTGCTGTGCTGCTTTTCTTAGCTTGTTTGGTGTAAGAGTGCACTGCATTCCCACTCTTGTACTGACAGCAGGACAGGTCAAATAACTCACTGTGAATTCAGTACTCTGCAAAATTTTGGATCAGAGTTGATATGCCAAATAATTCTACCAATGAGAGAAGCAACTGGGTACCAGTCTGGGGCCACCAAATAAGGGGAGGCTCATCTGTCTCGAGGAGAGACAAGCTGTTTTTTGCAACCAAGAAATCTTCCCTGTAACTAGAAAATCAAGTGAGACAGAAGCTTGGTAGGCCAGTGTATGGAGAAAAATCCTGAGGTCTTGCTCTGAGCAAAGAAACCTGTTTTGGTATGAAGAGAAACTTCCCAGCTGAGCTAGAGTCTATGTTTCTGTGAAACCTATGCTTCAAAGAGAATTTTGAATGCTTCCTAATTTCCAGGAAAAAACAAAATTCAGCAAACTATAATTGTTTAGTAAATCAGACAAATCCAATGAGTCAGTGTGGGAGGGAAAAAGAAATGGGTGCTCTTGGCTCTCCTCCTCTGGCTTGGGGCCCTAGGCAGTGATGCTCTGGGATAGGAGGCAGGTGTGTCTGAGACAGGCCTGTGCCCACACTGGGACCTTGGGAGCCCAGCAGATACCTGGGCAGAGTTTGAGAGTAGTGCTTGAAAAAAATCACAGCCTTATCTAATTTAAGGCAGAAATTCTATGTTTCTATGATTCTAAGAGGTGGCTTTGATCATTTAGCCTGACCTACTATAATACAGGCCATGGCAAAGTCCAGTGAGATGTGGCTGAGCTTTGCCTTTCTTTTAGGAAGGCAGACAGTATATTTGAAAGTCTTCCCTGGTTAGTTTGTCTAATAGATAATTGCCCTTATGGTTCAAAATCTGCTTTATTGCTAGACTCAGTTTTTCTGTTTCATCTTCTATTCCCTGAGCCTGCTTATACTTTCACCCTCTCAGTTGCTTCAGTATTTACGTGCACCGTGATCAAGTTGTCTCTTTAATTTCCTTCAATAAACTTAATAGACTGAGGCTTGTTTCCATGTGTTTTCAATTCCTTCCCCAGCTGGAGGAGGGGAGGTGGGTGTCTGGCTCCTGGCCTTCCTCCAGCAAGCAGTTCCCACCCACCTTCCTTCCACAATGGTGTTTTGGTCACAGTGCTGGGAAGGTGACTGAAACCTATTGCTTTTCCTCTCTCAAGTTCTGGTGCTGGCAGAGGAGAACCTGCTCCTGTTACTCTCCTTGCTAAAAAGAAACCATGAGGTGCTTTTGCATGCTCCAACCGGCTCTTGGCTCTTGGTGATAAACCAGTGTGTATTGACTGTGCAAAGCTGCCTCAGGAACCTGCATTTCTGAAAAGTCCTGTGGAAGGACATGCAGAGAAAGAAAGGGCAGGTATGAATTTTTTCTTGTAGCCTGAAAAGGTGTAGCTCTGCTTGATCATCAAGTGAGGTGAGAAGTGAGGCAGTTTTCAGAACAGTGCGCCTGGTTCCTAGGAACTCAGATCAGCCCTTTGGGCTGTGCGTAGCCAAGGAGTATAGCAGCAATCCACTGTTGGTCTCCACAGACCTGTATCACAGGGACATAAAGGAAGGTGCAGTGGTGTGCCTGGAGCCACACAACAAATCTGTGGCAGAATCAGTGTTAGAAACAAGGAACCTCAAGTTCCTGATTCAAACATGGCTTTGATATACTGCTGAGCGTTTCCTGTCTTCAATTTAAAAATAGCAATTCAGTGTAGAGTCTTGCGTCCTGCTTACTGCTTATGCTCTGTTCATACAATGCTGAAGGAGAGCTGCAAACCTGTTGAAGAGTGTGTCGTCAACAGCATGTTTAGCTCAGTGAGCTGATCTGGGGTGTCTGCCTAGGGGTTTGCTGGGATTCTGGGTGGCTGTAAGCATCAACCCACAGGTAGCGTCTTGCAGGCTCAATGCTCCGTAGACTGCCTGGGCAAATGGCAAGCCTCATCACAGGTGAAGCAAAAGGGCATAAAGGAAAAATTAGTTCTAGGTCCTATCAGTTTTAGGACTTTTTGGTTTTTCTTATAATAATAGGTACAATCTTTATAGACTTTCTTGGTGGAGATGCCTTACCAGAGTACAGTTTATTGGTGTGGAAGGGATACTGAAGCTGAGACAGCATATGCAGCACTGGAAAAAAATGTAGAAAATAAAAGCTGAAAAAAAGCCAGACCCAGCAACTTCCTATTGAAGAGCCTCTTAGAGGGACCCTGGCTGCCTGTTTTATTAAGCGTGACAAAGTGATGGGAGGTGGGGGGGAGCTCCTATGTTAATAAGTTGGAAAGGTACCACCATTCCTCTTGCCTGAGTGTCTCAGGGAAAGTGGAATTAATTCATGGCATATGCTCCCAGCATCTGCTGTGGTGACCCAGAGTGGCGGGAGCGCGGTGCCAAGCAGCATGTGCCACAGCCCATATTCTCCGCTCCTCTCTTGGTCGGGCCTTGCTCGCTGCCTGCCGGTGACCAGGCGTGGGGACAATGTAGCTGCTTCATCTGGACATGCACCGATCCGCTCACCTGCCACCCCACTGGCATCTCACAGCCTGGCCAGGGTCTTTCTCCCTCTGAAGAAGGAGTATTGCTCTAGACTTGAGAAGGAAAAGGGGATGTTTGGATAGAAGAGACCAGTTTGAATGGAAGCTAACCCAGTTTTTCCCCAACAGACTTAATTCCTCCCGCAGCATTCCCTGGCAGAGTCCTCTGTTCTCCAGCCATCTGACTTGTTCTGTGGTTTGCTGTGAGGATCTGACTCCTCGATTTCCCTTTTCCTTCTTTTCCACTGCATATCTACAGATTATTTGATGCTCTCCTTGACAGAGAGTTTAGAGGTTGTATTTGCTGTTAGGTGGGATTTCATTCTCTGTTTAATGGCTCCTGGGAAATAACTTTCCACGCCTTATTTCCCTTCGACTGAGCTGCACCACAGCCAGGAGCTGTATTCCAGCTAGTATTGGTGGGTGCAGTGTGTTGTTTCCAGGCTGCAGCTGTTTTTGCCTATGCCTGACACTCTACATGTGAGCTTTCCCTGGGGAAAGGGCACCCGGAGCGAATCTTCCACTGACTGCAATTTCTTCAACCACATCCTTCCGTCTTTTTGGACAACTGCCTAGGGTATGGGATACTTTTGTGGCCTAAAGAGCTGACGGGAGAAAGCGCAGCAGTAGGTGAATCCCAGACAGAGCAGAGATGTCTCACACTGCTGCTGTGCTCTCCCAGCAACTATCCCATCTCTGCAGCTTCTCCCTCTTGTGCTCCCTTTTGAAGTGTGTCATTCCAGTTCCAGGCTGGGCTGGGACTGTGCAGATTTGGGCGAGGGCCAAGACAGGGTCCCAGGCACCATGGCGATGCATGGTCAGCTGCCCTGGTGAGACCAGTCCTCCCATGGTCATGCTTTATCTGGGTGAAGACCCACACTCCTTGCAGCCACAGCCTGGGAAGCATCCTGATTGATTCAGTCATGAATGCTGCATGACATGGACATCCAGAGCTCTTGAGCCCATTAATCTCTCTGCCATGGTCCCTGGGGAGATGAAACTTTTCCTCTTAGTGCTCCGCTATTGGAGTCTGCCCCAGGAGGCTGCTCCCCACCAACCTCACTGGGGCCAGAGCAGCTCTGTGCCATAGGCCCTCTTATCGGGCTCTATCTCCTGTCACTTTCAGGACCACTTCATTATCCTTTTATTAGCCCTTTTCTCCTGCTTATCATTATTAATAATCACGCTGGATCAGCTGGAGTGCTGACAGCTGCCCCTTGTCCATTCTTTCTGTCTATTTTAATCCTGCCTGCTTATCTGGAATAAACCTGATCCTTTTTCTTTTAATTAAAGAAATTTGGTCAGCCAGTCCCTCCTCCATGCAGAGATAGGACTGATCACACCGGTGATATGCACAGAGCAGGAAAAGGGGCAGATTACTGGGTGACAGTGTTTTCCACAGCCCGAAGATATGCAATGTCAGACTAGAGGCTGGAAGAGACCAAGGCACATGTGTGCAGAGAAACACAGCACTGGGGCACTGTG